AATTTGCCCCTAAACACGAAACTCGAAACTGTGGGCTTTTCATGGCTGGTGGGTGGGCACTAAGCTGCATTTCCGAGTGGAAGCCTTCATAGCCCAGCAAGACAGCTTGGGTGTAAAGCTTGGCGTTTCGCCCTGCTGCGCACAAGCCTGGCTGCCACCCCAGAGCAGGTTCAGGAATCTCGGACCGAGAATCCTCTCCTGTCGGGGGGGGTCAACCTTTGGTTCGGTGCGGTGGGGCGGACGCTGAGCCGTGGTCCCGGGCTTTAGGGCTTTACATCGACCGTGCGAGATCGATCCAACCCCGTGGCGGAGGGCGCATTCTCATCTCTCTGTCCGCAGCTATGTAAACATTGAAACGCATGGTTTCCGCGCGTGCATTCACATGATCTTTTGTTTTCCGTTGTTTCCACTAGCTTTCTATCTAAAGCATGGCATGTTTAGTCCACGTGGCTTGGTAGGCATAAAGTGTCAAAACGCGGGGCACCGTTCACGCCTGGAGCCCATTATGATTTCTCATTACATATTCGTATCATGACGAACCATCACCATGGTCGTCCTCCTCGTCATCGTTTGCACCGTTATGACCATCGTCAGCAGTGGCATCATCCTTGGACGTTGATGCCGCCTTCCCCCTCATCGTCATGGTCATCGTCGTCGCATCGTCTTCAACATCACCGTCATTATCATGACTGTTGGTGTCGTCGTCATTGTCGCCATCATCATCATCATCATCGTCATCACCATCACCATCACCATCATCATCATCATCATCCTCGTCGTCCTCGTCGTCCTGGTCGTCTTCCTCGGCGTCGTCTTCGTCGTCGTCGTCGTCATCATCGTCATGATCGTCATCATCATCCTCAGCATCGTCACCGCCATCCTCGTCATCGCCATCCTTGTCATGATCGTCTTCAATCGCCGCCACGCTTTTTGTCATTTTTGTCATAAACGATCGTCTATATCATTCGGCCTCCGTTTGTTTGTGGTCTTTTTGCGAGACAACCGTCTGCGTCTATCGGAACCAGTGGTCAACTGTGCTGGAGGATTTGTAAGCAGCCTGCTTGCTTGTGGGCCTCTGGGAAAACAGAGTTGTTCTGCAACTTCCCACTCGGTGTTTTGAACTGATGGACAAGAGGCTGTCAAAAAACAAATTGGCACGATGCCGTTTCATGGCTTTTTGGATTATTCGAAGGACAGGTCGTTGATGGTTGATTTTGCACGACACGTTGAATCAGCTTAGTGTGAAAGAAAGACGGACGAGTATGAGGACGAAAACGTTTCGTGGCGGGGGGCTGCTTCCGCCAGACAGGGTTGGATTGGCTGATGAAAAAACGGCCGTGCTCAGAAAACGTGTTCACAAATTCACAAACACTTTCAAAAGGGCTACACCAATACTATGACGCGCAGAACAACGACAGGAGGTCTTCAGCGACTATGACTTGCCCACACGCAATGTTGATGCCGTGGATGAAGGGGAGGCATCGGGCTTAGAGGTTAGTTCGTGTCCCCTAAACACCTCAACCGTTTTCCAGGATCCCCTAAACCTTGACCCGCTTTTTCCGGTCGGTTTTCTGTCTGAGGGTTTCTAAGGTTGAAACTAAGATTGTGGGTTTTCTCTTTGGCTTTCCTGCTCCACCAGATCTTGATTCCCCCAAGCCAAGGGCCGAAACTGCCAATTGGGATGCGCAAGGGTTTGGAGCTTAGGTCTAACCCTAAAACCCTAAACCCTAAACCCCAAAACCCTAAACCCTAAACCCTAAACCCCAAAACCCTAAACCCTCAACCGGTTTAGGGTAGACTTAGACCCTCCAATCAGCTCTTGGGCCCCCCCCAATTCTGCAAGCACACGTCTTGCCTTGTGCAGGTGAAGGTTCAGCAGCTTGTGCGCTACCAGGCCATCGGTAATCCACTGGACCGCTTCAATGCGTATGTTCGAGGCGCAGGGATCTTCTATAAGAGTGGCAGAAGGGACTATCGCTAATGAAGTACGGTTAGACTAGAGAGTTATATCGGCAGAGGTGACGTTTTAGGGGCCTGGGTTTATGGATTTGGGTCGAGTGTTTTTTAAACTCGTGTTTAAGGGAGCTCTGGCTTAGGACATAGTCCTGTGGCCGCACCAGCACGTTAGAATCACCCCAGGGGTCCTTCGCGACATTGTCATGATGCAGATTGGCGATGAGATCTACGTACCATGGCCATTGTGTCTGACTGCCTGCCTACCGATGATCTTGTACTCCGCTGTAAACGTGCTGGGCTGCGACAACGGCAGTTGCGATGAATCTGCGCGGCTGGCAGGATGTTCCTCAACGCTTCAGTACATCCTCGCCCAGACGTTGGGTTGGGTACTCATCATCCTGCTGACATTCCCATTGACTTACCCAGTGATGCTCCGGATGCTGAAATGTATTCTGTCATGTGGCGATGGTCCAGTGCAGCGCTGTGCAGCTTTCTTGTGTTGCTTCCTGGCGTATGAATACACGTATATGTGTGGTGGCTTGATCTGGGGCGCTTGGGTTCCTGTTGTGCAAGACTACTCCCCGGCTCAGCTCACGTTCTTTCTGTTGGTGGTGATGCTGATGGTCGTGCAGTGCCTGTGCTTGTTCTACAGATGGGAGAAGCAAGATCGGGAGAACGTGACATCGTGTCGCTGTGTCAAACGACAGGTCGCGACATATCAGGCAGCTCGGTAGTGCAGCAAGCACTGTTTGAAACTCTTTCAGAATGATGTAATACCCACATCGAATCCTTGGATAGTATAGGAGCCTCTGTAATTACCAATACTAAGCCATAAGGTTCCTTAATAAGACTATACTATAGTACATCCCAGCGCTCTATTATGAAGGCGTTTGTCTTCGTCCTAAGCCCCTTAAATCCCGGAGTCCAGACAAGTAAGGCAATGGGCACCGAAAGCGGCTTGCCTTTGGCCTCTTTCGACGAATCTCCCGATTAAGCCCACGTCGGGCTTCAAATGTTACTTAGGCCGCTCTTACCCCTAACCCGGATGCCTGTATGTGCGGCGGCTTGATCTGGGGCACGTGGGTTCTTGTTGTGGAGGATTTCTCCCCAACTCAGCTCATACTTTTTCTCCTGGTAGTGTTCTTGATGGTCGTCCAAGCATCTGCCTCTTGTACAGATGGGACAGGCAAGGCCAGGAAGCTTCATGTCGCTGTGTCTCACGACAGGGCGCGACATATCAGAAAGTTCGGTAGTCCAGTACACAGCCTTTGACTTGTTTGTTCGGCGCTGTTGGAAGCCCATCTAGTACGAAGATAGGGCTTACATCGGGTTTGATACAGTTTGAAGTTTAAGGTTTGAGGTTCAGGGTTGAGCGGTTCAGCAACTATTTTCCCAGAAAGTTACACAAGCAAGGCAATGGGCGCCGAAATTGGCTTGTCTCCGGCCTAAAGCCGTTCTTCGATGAGTCTCATGAGTGGCCAAAACAAGCAGGTTCTGGGATACTCTTAAAACAAAAAAATGAAGAACATGAAGAAACAACGAGAGATCCCATATGAAAGATATTTGTTTATGTATCCGGCCATGTCTGCCCCCAAGCTCGATCATTTGCACTTTTCCAAACCTTAAACTCAAAGGAGGTCCGGGGATTCCCCTAAACTTAAACCTCATGGGTGACCTTGCCCGGAGTCAAACGTCTCGATTTAGGGTTTTGTGAGGGTTTTAGCTTAGGATTTACGGTTTTAGGGTTTGGGCTTTAGGGGTTGAGGGTGGAGGGTTTAGGCGTTGCATAGGGGTTTATCCACTTGAAGATCTCGATGGCTTGGGTAGTCAGTCTGGGGTTGAAGGGTGTACTATAGACTAGGATGTGCCGTAGCACCCTTATTCCCTTTTTGTAGTCCTAGGTTCCTTATAAAATTACCCAATACCAAAAAGGGAGCCCTTTTTATTCCTAGGTGACTGGGCATCCTAGTAGAAGCTTGAGTATTTCGAAAGTAATGCCATACCACTCCTCAGGGTTACTTTCTGTAATCCCTTCCGCCTAATATTAAACCGGGGGGTTCCCCCCAATAAATTCACGGGAAGAAAACTTATGATTAGGGGTTGTTGTTTTCTCTACTGTCACTTTTGAGGGCTCTTGCTCCTAAACCCTAAACCCTAAACCCTAAACCCTTGCTCTTGCTCCTGCGCGCGGGCTTTTGCTCGTGCTCCTGCCGCGTCTCTTGCTTTCGCTCCGGTGCCTCTTGCGCTACGGTTGATGATAGAAATCCTGGGGTTCCTTTACAGGGAGCTTTAAGGGTACCTTTAAGGGATCTACAGGGTTTTTAGGGTTTAGGGTTTAGGATGATACAAACCCTGCATGACCCATTTTAAGGAATATACCATAATTCCTATAGTTTAGAGTCCTTAAGGTAATGCACGATTTATATCATCAACCGTATGGCTCCTGCTCTGCTATTAATTGCTGATACTCTTGCTTTTGCTCTTACTCCAGCTCTTGCTCTGGGCTCTTGCTCCTGCTCTTGCTCCGGACCCCCCTAATGCAAATCAGGTTTGGAAGGCAGGGGTGATTTCGGGAGGATTGGCCCCAAAGTGTTTTTGTTACTGGCAGGGTGTCTCATCAACGGGGGAAGTGTGATTAGTTACAATACATTATACCCCGAAGCCCCTGTCGGAGTTGTTAAGGCTTGATGACTGCGGTTTAGGCCTGCGGGTTATCCCTGGACCCCAAGCCCTAAACCCAAACTGTAAGCCCTAGATTCCTGGTGCAGGGCCCACTCGCGCATGATGCCGGGGGTTCATGCAGGATCGGCTTGCAAGCATACCGGAAACCCTTAAACTGCATCCCTTCGAAGCCTATTCCAGTCAGTAAGGCCCTTGTCAAAACCCTACGCCCCGAAACTGGAGGATCCCCGAAGCAACGAAGCATGCTTTAGGAGCACGTCTGCAGGCATCTCTCATCCCCCCTTGGTCTGGCCCAGTTGAAAGCGGCCAGCCCAGAACCCCCCCCCCCCCCCAAGGCAAGTCCGATACTAAGCCCTTGAGCAATGCCACCTTCGGGGCACCGCCTTCGGCGTCCCCTCTCCTTCGATAGAATCGAAGGGGGTGCCTCCGATTTGCTTCATTGGGCTTTGGTACTGTTGAGGGACAAGATCCTGCATGACCCTAAGGATTCTAAACTATGGGAATTATGGTATCTTCCTTCTAAAGGGTAATGCAGGATTTTGTCCATCAACAGTAGGTTGAGGTTCTTCATGGTCGCGCTGATGGCAGCCTTTCAGGAGTATATATTGACGAGCAGATGTTGGAGTCGCTGGTGTTTGGCTTCTTTGTGATTTACGGTTGATGATATAAATCCTGCATTACCTTAAGCAGCCTAAACTATGGGAATTATGGTATATTCCTTGTTATGGGTAATGCAGGATTTATATCATCAATCGTAGGGCCCAAGCAGGGGGTTTGAGGGGTGAAGCCCCTAAACTCTAAGCCCTACATTTCATGAGCCAGGCGGGTTCCATTGAATGAAGTGGGCGGGAGCCGGAGCAAAAAATAGGGTTTAGGGCTCTTTTAAAGAGATCATTAAGGGTTCCTTTAAAGGGATCTATAAGGGTTCCTTTAAAGGGATTTAGGGTTTAGGGTTCTTAGAGTTTCCCAAGATTAGGGGGTACCTTATTTTGGAGTCCTTAGAATGAGGATCCTACTATTTAGGGTACTGTGTTAGGGTCCTGCAAATTTTCGGAAACACCCATATCGTCCTATGGTTCGAGCTTCAATGTCGTTCATCCGTCTGCAGGCCGTGTTAACATGAAGTCCTAGAACTTGAGACGCCCGCTTTAGAGGTTTGAGGGTTTGGGTTTAGGGTTTAGGGGTTCGGTTTTAGAGAGCCAATCCGAGCCAAACCAGCACCCTAAGGTCTGAACTTCCCTCCATGCCATATAGCCTATCCTACAGTTGAAGATATAAATCCTTCATTACCTTAATAAGGGGAATTATAGTATATTCCTTATTATGGGTCATGCAGGATTTATATCATCAACAGTAGTAGTAGTAGTAGTAGTAGTAGTAGTAGTAGTAGTAGTAGTAGTAGTAGTAGTAGTAGTAGTAGTAGTAGTAGTAGTAGTAGTAGTAGTAGTAGTAGTAGTAGTAGTAGTAGTAGTAGTAGTAGTAGTAGTAGTAGTAGTAGTAGTAGTAGTAGTAGTAGTAGTAGTAGTAGTAGTAGTAGTAGTAGTAGTAGTAGTAGTAGTAGTAGTAGTAGTAGTAGTAGTAGTAGTAGTAGTAGTAGTAGTAGTAGTAGTAGTAGTAGTAGTAGTAGTAGTAGTAGTAGTAGTAGTAGTAGTAGTAGTAGTAGTAGTAGTAGTAGTAGTAGTAGTAGTAGTAGTAGTAGTAGTAGTAGTAGTAGTAGTAGTAGTAGTAGTAGTAGTAGTAGTAGTAACCTTTAACCTTTCTTGGGTAGTATAGTCCCTTTCGTTCCCCATGATACCCGACAAGTAGGCTATACTATACTAACCATCAACCCAACACCTTGCACCTCCAAAAGCTCGGATAACCCTAAACCCTCAACCCTGAATTGGGAGCTCTAAACCCTATAGATCCCTTCAAAGGACCCTTTATAGATCCCTTTATAGGGTCCCTTATAGGACCCTTCAAAGGAACCCTGAGCCCTACTAATCCAGGAGCAGCGAGTCCGAGTTCGCTGCGCGCTACGACTACTCGGCAGGTGCTGACCGGCTCGTTGGCTCAACACCCGGGCTTCGGGTTTAGGGCTTAGCTTTACCCTTAAGAGCGTTTTTGTAAGAGGACCTATATAAGGAAATCATAGTAATTCTAAAGTGTAAAAAGGGAGGTTTTGGGGGGTTAAGGTAGCGCTTAGGGCTTAGTGTTTGCTCTTGTTTTGAGCTCCGGATTCTCAGACTCTAAAGAGTTGAACCATATCACAGCTTAAACCACCCAAGTCTAGAACGAATCATTTAAGGGCTTTTGAGGTTTAGAGTCTAGGGTTTACTGTTTAGAGGTATAGGGTTTAGGGTTCAGGGTTCATGGGTTTGGAGTCTTGACGGCCAGAAGACTGAACCCTTAAGCCCCAAGCCCTTGAAGAAGCTCTCTACTTCAAGGATCATGGGACTTGGTAAGTAGAGGTTTTATTAGGGTAACTAAACTTATAACCCCAATTAGGGTACTTATAACCTTACTTACTACGTCCCATGATCCTCCAAGTAATTCCCTATACACGAGCCCGTGGATCCTTGGACCTGACTCCAGATCTTGTCGTGTGTGACGCGGGCAGGGTCATACCCTACCCCTTGTTTGGGCACCTATGTTGTTGCAATATACATAGCAGATTTAACCATAAAACTAGGTACCCTGGAAAATGGATAGGGTTTGGCAGTATGACCGTCTACGTAAGCTGCAGACCCAGGATTTGGGAAGATCTTCAACCAGGACCCTAAACCCCTAAACCCTAAACCCTAAACGGTAGACCCAGGTCTTGTGGTGCCCCCCCAGGTCTTGTGCCATAAACCCTAAAAGCCCCTAAATCCCTAAAACCCCTAACCCCCCAAAACCCATAAACCCATGAACCCATGAGCCCTAAACTGTAGACCCAGGTCTTGGGATGATCTTCAACCAAGACCTTCAAACGCTTCTTTCGGCCGGGGGACTTTACGGCATCCGATTTCCGACGAGGGAGCAGATGCAGAATGTCGGAGATACTTTGTGCCTTTGGTCGCAGGTTCCCTAGGACTTTAAGGGTTTAGGGTTTTATGCGATGAGCAAATGCAGAAAGTAAGAGATACTTTGTGCCATGGAGAGTTCAGGGTTTCAAGGTGTAGCAGTAACTAGTAGTGGTAGTAGTAGTAGCAGCAGCAGCAAGTAGGACGTTTGATCGTCGTTTGCAAGCGCGGTCTAGTTTAGGGTCTTAGGGTTTAGGATCAGGGTTTGTGGTAGGCTAGGACAGATCACCAAACAAGCAAAGCGCAGCAAGTTCCAAGAATCTGGTCGAGTTATCCAGGCCCCCCAAAAGCCCAACTGAAGCCTCAGAATCAGAAACCCTCAACCCCAAACACACGCACCCTAAACACCCTAAACCCTGAACCCAAGCCCATGAAGCCATATTGTGGTATTGCTTATCATGATTCGTCTGCCCCAGGTTTCATGCATCCGTGGAGACAAACAACGTAGACCTCTTCATTAGTCACTCTTGGAGTGCAGGTCGGCAGGGTTTAGGACTTAGTTTAGGGTTTATGTTGTAGTGTTTAGGGTTTAGGGTGTTGTGTTTAGGGTTTAGTTTAGGGTTTAGGGTGTAGAGTAGGCTTTGGGGTTTAGGGTGCAGGGCTTATATGGGGTCCAGATTCTTGGAGTGCCCGTCGCCAGGGCCTCGTGTTGAGGGGTTTCTCTTGCATTCATGAGCCCTCAAACCCAAAAACCCTCCACCTTTCCCGCCCGAACCTCAATGCCCCGGCACCCTATGCCACGGTTTAGGGTTTAGAGTTTAGGGCTGCCGCATCAGCCATAAAGCTCAGCACCCTGAAGTCCTGTAGCATAAGGTAGAACCGTTGGGGTGTCCAGGTATACCCCAGAAGAATAGCATCCATGGCAATTAAGACCCCTTTATAGCACCAGAAACCCTAAACCCTAAACCCTGCGTAAGCCCTTAGAGCTCTGAACTCCAAAAAACCCCAAATCCTAAACCACAGAACCCCACACCCTCAACAAGAAAGTTCCTGCATAAGACAGTGGTTCACGGGTGCCTACATATATCAGGGTTGTGAGTTGGAGGGACGTTGTAGGTCTTCAGTTCAATTACGACATTTAGGTCAGAGTACATTTGGGCTCAGTGTCTGGGGTGCAGCAGTGTTCAGGGTACAGTAGGTCATTAGGGTTGAGGGTTTAGGGTTTCGGGTACGGTAGGGTTTAGGTTTTAGGGTGCAATGGAGCTTGGAGCGCAGGTTAAGTAGGATGAAGGGTGTAGGGTATGAAACCCTAAACCCAAACCGTAGGGTTCAGGATTGTGGCTTTGCTGAGTATTAGACTTGAGCAACAGGTCGTTGGGAGAAGTTCCTAGCACTCTGCTTGCCACTCGGCAGCGGTCAGCAGGCTATGGGTGTAATGTATTACTTTGTCATAGTTGGGAAACATTTTACATGCTTACAGTAGAAGCCAGAAAGTTGGAATATCATTATCGTAACCCCTTTAAGGTAATTTATACGGGATCCTACCATTAATCCATATTCCAACTTTCTGGAGTTCCCTTTATGGGTACTTAAACCCAATACAGTAAGGAATAAAAATGGAGGCCCTGATTCCGTTCTTTAGGGTTCAGATTCCCCTTTAGCCCCCTTAAACCAAAACGGACACGCTTTTCATTCCTAGGCTGCTCTTGGGTCTAGTCGAGTCTCTCACGGGTTTGAAAGCATGAGATCTCAACTCCCCCAAACACCCTTCCAGCCTCAATATTCTGGCGCTCATTCGTTCCCTAGACCCTGTCAGGGAAAAAATGTGTTTGACCGATATGACGAAACGAAAACAAGGGTTTTGGATTTCGGTTTTAGGGTTGAGGCTTGGCAGGTTTAGGGTTGAATGTTGTAGCGCTTCAAGTTTATAGGGTTCCGGGTGTTTTTAGGTTTACATTTGAGGGTAGTTTCCGGGAGCTGAGGTATCTGAATCTGCACATGGCCGTGGCAAGTTGCATGGTCATCTGGATCTTGATTCTGGTGCTGATGATCTCCTCGTATGGTGTGTTCGGTCTTGGTGGAAGTCGACTGCTGCTCCCCTGCTTTGTGTATCTTCCCATGGTCTGCTTCTTCATTGTTTCTGGGCTTTGGAGTACCATACTTTACATAATACTTTTTGTTAAAGGAACCATTATGAAATAAAAGTGTATTTTCTCACTGGTTACTTAAAAGCCCAGGTTTTCTTCTTTGGACAGCAGCTCTCTTTTGGGCTGTGTTCTCCATCGGTTTGGATAGACAGGCTGTGTATCCATCAGACGGATCTGGAGTTGAAAGCCGATCAAATTAAGTCCGTGCCAACCTTCGTTGCACGTTCTTCCCGCATGCTCGTCCTCTGTGACGGATCCTACTTTGAACGGTTCCTGAGCACTTCAGAGCTCTGCTTTTGCTGAATATAAGGGCCTTGATAATTTAGAATAGGACTCCTGTAAGGGGGTCTAGAAGGGTTACTACCAGGGGTCTATAAGGGTTCTATGATGTAGGGGCCTCAATATAGTTCTTTGCAGTCTCTGACAAGCAGCGAGCACGCTTTCTCTCGCACAGGTTGTGGTGCAATCTAGAGCTGGCCACTTTTGCACGGTATGGAGGTGGGTAGTTGTCAAAATTATGATCCCTTTTCGGGTCCATATTATAGTACGGCACCTTCAGGGTACCCAAAAAGGAACCATAATTTTGACAGCCACCCAGGTGTGGATAAGGTGGACGTGTTGCCACTCTGGCTCGCTCCATGGTTGCTTTACTGTATTTCGCTGGAGCTGCTCAGTGCCCACTTGATGCTGGGCCGCTCTGGAACAGAATTGGGAGCTTCCGAACCTCTATAGTACCCTACATAGCAGGATCCTTGTTATAAGGACCCAAAAAAGGTACCCCTCATTTTCGGAAACTCCCAATTCTTACTCCCAGTATAATCGTATAGTCTTAATGAACAGGGACAAGAAGTTCTAAGTCTTTTTGGAGTGCCTTCGAGCACAGCTGAGGATGGATGTGTCGCAAGTTGTGTTCCCCAGCTGGATGCCCGCTTGCAGCAGGCATCTTGGTCAAGCAAGAAGGAGGATCCTTTCTAGTTTCGAGCCTGGGCTTATGAATAGACCCTAAACCCTGAACCCAAAACCCTAAACCCTAAACCCTAAACCAAAATTCCTCTCAAGGGAGCGCCTGAACATCATCCCTTGTTTCTTTCCCGAATTGGGGAGCAGGCACGTCATGGGGCTGCTTGAGATGCTTCTGGGGGACAACCCAATGATGCTGAAGCTTGGCGCTGCAACTACTATTAATACTACTAACACGACTAATACGACCAATACTACTAATACTACTAATACTACCAATACTAATATTACTACTAATACTACGAACACCCGGCTCAGGGCTTGTGGTTCAGGCTTAGCGGTTTGGAGTGACTATAGGGGCTTAAGGGTTCGGGGTTGAGGGTTTCGGGGTTTCGGGCATGTAAGGATTTGGGGTGGAGGGCTGTAGGGCTTGCGGTTGTATAGTGCCATGACGAGGAGCTGACCAAGAGCAACAAGGCTTTAGGGTTTAGGGTTTAGAGTTTAGGGTTTAGGCTTTAGGGTTTAGGGTTTAGGGTTTATTACTCCAGAAGCCGAGGAGATTCGTCGGTTGGCTCGTTATCTGGATGATGCAATCAGTGACCACGCTCCCGGCTTCTATACCCAGCTCCCCAGCCGGTACTTCGGGGTCGGGTTTAGGATGGGTTAAGGTTGAGGGTCTTTCGCGGTGTAATGGGATCTGGTGGGGGATTTAGGGGTTTAGGTTTAGGGTTGAGCCCGCAACATTAGATTTGCTAGTCCGGAGCAAACAATCCCATTCGGGTTGCGCTTAGGCGTACTTTTGACCTAAGCTCTAAACAACAAAGCCTGGAGCCATAACCCCGGTCCTAGTAGTAGTGTAGGTAACCCTTTTTGGATAGTATAGTCCCTATATTATATAATTAATCCCTATCTAACCAAAAAGGTAACCTTTAGTTCCTTTAACCTTTTTTGGATGGTATAGTCCCTATATAATCCCTATATAACCAAAAAGGTTAGCCTTCAGTTCCCCATGATACCCGACAAGCAGGAGAACCTAATCGCCTGAGGCCCTGACCAATCCTGATCCCTCCTTGGAAATAGGGCTACCGTATATTGGGGTCCTTATGATACAGATCCTACTAAATACGGTTGATGATCTAAATCCTGCATGACCCATAATAAGGAATCTGCCAGAATTCCCATAGCTTAGGGTCCTTACGGTAATGCAGGGTCTATATCATCAACCTAAACCCTAAAACCCTATAGATCCCTATTAAAGGAGCCCCTTAAAGGTACCCTTATAGATCCCTTTAAAGGTAACGCAGGATTTTTTCATCAACCCTGTTCTAGGGTTTCCCAGTTTTCGGAACCTCGAAGCCGAAGACGTGAGGGGCCAAGGGCTTCCTAGTTGCAGCAGGGTTTAGGGTTTAGGGTTTAGGGTATTAGGGTTTAGGGTATTAGGGTTTAGGGTTTAGGGTTTAGGGTTTAGGGTTTAGGGTATTAGGGTATTAGGGTTTAGGGTATTAGGGTTTAGGGTATTAGGGTTTAGGGTTTAGGGTTTAGGGTTTAGGGTATTAGGGTTTAGGGTATTAGGGTTTAGGGTTTAGGGTATTAGGGTATTAGGGTTTAGGGTATTAGGGTTTAGGGTTGAGGGTTTAGGGTTTAGGGTTTAGGGTATAGGGTTTAGGGTTTTGCTTGGTCAGTGTTTCAGTGCATCGGTCCTATGGTGGTTTGGGTTTTTTAGACCAAAGTCGTGTTTCACCAGGTTTCTTCTCCTTCTGCATGAAGATTCGACATCACGAGCTTATCCTGGACCCGAAGGGGGGGGGCAGGGGGAGGGTTTGGGGTTCTGAGAATGGGCTTTCTTAGAAACTTAGGGCAGAAGTTTAAAGTTTAGGGATTGTCAGACCATGTAATACAGGTGCCTTATAATTATTAGATATACTACGGTTGATGTTATAAATCCTGCATTATTACCCTTAATAAGGAATATACCAGAATTCCCATAGTTTAGGGTCCTTAAGGTAATGCAGGATTTGTATCATCAACAGTATTGCGGGGGTTCTCCCCAGAGTCCCATTCCAATTATTAAGGCCCCTATAGTATAGTACCTTACTATAGACCCCTTAAAGGATCCCTTACAGACCCCTCTTTAAAGGAACCCTATTCTACCTGTAGATTGAGTCTTAGCACATGTACTTGGAGGATCATGGGACTTAGTAAGTAAGGTTATAAGCACCCTAAGTGGGGTTATAAGTATAGTTACCCTAATAATAGCCCTATAGTTCCTAAGTCCCATGATCCTTCAAGTAGTGCCGTATCCGTGGGGTCGGCTTTGTTTAGGGTTTGAGGTTTAGGTCTTAGGGTTTAGGGTTTAGGTTTTAGGGTTTTGGGTTTGAGGTTTAGGTCTTAGGTTTTAGATTTTGGGGTTTGGGGTTAGGTCTTTTAGGGTTTACCTCCAGGACCAAATGGCACACTTTACCCTAAACCTTAAACCCTAAACCCCAGACGTTAAACCCTAAACCAGGATCAAATGGCAGACTTCGACGTCCGGGCGGCAAAGTGTTCTGAGCCTTCGGACCGCGAGGCTATCGAGAAGCAACTGAAGGAGACCTCCGAACTACAGTAGAAGCCCAGGGTTCAGGATTCAGGGTTCAGGGTTTAGGGGGTAGGCTTTAGGGTTTAGGGTTCAGGGTTTAGGGTTCAGGATTTAGGGTTCGGGGTTTAGGGTTCGGGGTTTAGGGTTCAGGGTTTAGGGTTCAGGATTTAGGGTTCAGGGTTTAGGGTTCAGGGTTTAGGGTTCAGGGTTTAGGGTTCAGGGGTTAGGGCTTAGGGATACAAGCTGGGAGCCTAATAGCCTCTATCCTTAAGAGTAATGTATAAGGAATCCCAACACTATTTGGCCTTAATCCGGTTTCCAACGTTATGGGGTTTACTGTAGGGATGAAGTTGGGTACTGCCCCCACCCTGTCACAGTTTCCATTGGGTCATATTTAGGGCTACAAGCAATCATCTTATAAATGTTGCCATCTAACTGTTACAGGGTGGGTGCAGTACCTGAGAGGCAGGAGATTTAACAACAGGGTGGGATTCCGTACTGATTAACATTCTTCCTCAGATTCCTGGTTACAGGTTTAGTGTAATGGACCACAAAACCCTAAACCCTAAACCCAAAACCCTAAACCCTAAACCCTAAACCCTAAACCCTAAACCCTAATACCCTAAACCCAAAACCCTAATCTTGTTGCTATGGCCCCTATATGAGGGCTGGAGCTTCAGGGCCTGGAGGGTTCAGGGTTGTTGGGTTTCCCGAAAAGGGCTTAAGGGGAGCGTAAAGGGGGACTTAAAGGGGGGCTTGAGGGGGACTTAAAGGGAGCTTAAAGGGGGACTTAAAGGGAGCTTAAGAGGGGACTTAAAGGCTTAAAACCAACATCAGTGAATTCAGGAGGTGTTCTGCAACCAAGAGCCCCCCACTTCCGGCGCTTTTGTCGTGGATGAGGGGGAGGCACGGCTGAAGCGCCGGATATTTTGGGCTGTTCCGATTACGCAGGTGTGACTGTGACATCGGGGTAGAACCGTGGCGGAAGCGCACTAGAAGGGCTTTAGCAGGATACTGATAACGACGACTTCTGTAAGGGCTCAAGAGATAGTGATAGGGACCCTAAGGGGGGTACTTGGAGGGTCGGGGGACTTAGTAAGTAGGTAGTAAGTAGACTTATAAGTACCCTAAAAGGGACCCTAATTGGGGTTATGGTACTTATAAGCCCCTAAAATAACCAGTTACTAAGTCCCCCGACCCTCCAAGTAGGGGGCCTTAATGCCTATAATAAGGACGTAGTAAGCCCTATTTAAGGAAGTAGAGTCCTCTACCCCCCTCCCCCTACCCCCCTAATGGTTCCCTATGAGATAGTGCTACAGTTTTGTTGAGGCCTTGTACTCAACCCTAAACCCGAAACCCAAAACCCTAAACTTTGTCATAGTTGGGTAACATTTTACATTTTCATGGGTACTTAAACCCAATAAGGAATACAAATTTACATGTTCAATCCCATCCCCACCATGAACTAGTAAACCCCAAGCCATTCCTGAGCCCAAAGGGCCGAACCATAGCTCCCAATGTGAATCGACTAGGCAAAGCCCAACTCGCAAGTTCATGCGATGCAGCGGTTTAGGGGTTTACGGTTTAGGGTCTAGGAGCAAGCACAGAATGCGACGATTCCGTTGCGTTCAAAAGAACTTGAACACGAAAACTGCACGGCCGACAGACAAAGCAATGTTTCCGGAGTTCCCAGTTACGTAGTCATGCATGAGATAGATGTCCTTCTTGGGAGAAATATACATGTGCCTCACCCTAAACCCTAAACCCTAAACCCTAAACCCCCTAAACCCTGTTTTCCCAAACACCCGGAGAGTTGAGTGACTTGCTTCATTTGTTACACGGTTTAGGGTTTAGGGTTTAGGGTTTAGGGTTTAGGGGTTTAGGGTTTAGGGGTTTAGGGTTTAGGGTTTAGGGGTAATCGGGATCTCAGAAAGATTTTTGCGCCTTGGCCCACACCCTTGCCGGCTCTTGCACCCCCGCACTCTAAACCGTTTAGGACCTAGGGTTCACGTTCAAGGTTTGTGGTTTAGGAGTTTAGGGTTTCGCAAACTTCGGGTATTACACGCCAACCCCAAAAACCGCGACGTTTCACTCCCATAGTTTCTCCGCTGTGCAGGTGAAGGTTCAGCAGCTTGTGCATTATCATGGCACCGGCAATCCGTTGGACCGCTTCAGCGCCTACGTTCGAGGCAGCAGGATCTTATGGACCCAACCTTATTGGGCTTCATCATAAGGGGTGTTTGTGGGATCTCACTATCCGGTTTTTGGGGGCGGCACCACAACCCTGTTCTATTTATTAAGGCCTCTATTCCACGAAGTATCCTGGCAGAGGAAGTGCCTACAGGGCCCTTGGTAGTCAGGGTGGTTCAACTTTCTAAGCAATGTGGTACTATCATGGGGTCCCTAGACTCAGAGCAAAAATTAATGATTGAGTTATGCTGGACCCTAAACCCTAAACTCCGAAACCGTTCGTCTTATCCGAGCTCTCACCACAGTCCAGCGCCGTCCTGTCCATCTACTACAGGGGCCTAAATATCTAATTACCTATACTGTTTTGGGGTTCCTTCTTATAAATGTAGTATAATGGGCCCCGAAACCCTATTCTAATTACGAAGGCCCCTATATTTGGACGGCACAGTCGCTGTAGAAGAAAGGGCCTCGGCGAATTTCACAAGCGCCACGACACCCAAATGTCCCAGCATAGTTAGCACCTGCGGGTTTCAGGGAGTTCCTGTTTAGGAGGCAGTACTCGTTTAACACCCTTAGGCTTCCTCCGTGACATTGTCATGATGCAGATCGGCGATGAACGCTACGTGCCATGGCCATTGTGTTTCACTGCCTGCCTACCGATGATCTTGTATTCCTCCGTGAACGTGCTGGGCTGCGACAACGGCTCTTGCGAGGAATCTGCACGGCTGGCCAACATGTCCACGACCACCTACGTCCTCGTTTGTGTTGTCGGCTGGGTGCTCAATATCTTGCTGGCATTCCCACTTACCTACCCAATCATGCTTCTGGGTTATTTGGGATATTTTTTAGTCCCCCTTATTTCCTTATAAAGGGAACCTATTCATAAAACATTCAAGGGGTTTAAAGCACAACCCAGGCTTCGGATGCTGAAAGTCAGCTTGTCCTTCGGCGAAGGCCCCTTGCAGCGCTGTTCAGCTTTCGTGTGTTGCTTCATGGCATACGAATACACGTATCTGTGCGGCGGCTTCATCTGGGGCTCCTGGGTTCCTGTTATGACGGCCTCTGGGCTTTGGAGTACCATACTTTAACACGTTTTTTCTGAAAGGAACCGCTATGAAATACACGTTTAGACTTTTTTCTCACTGGTTACTTAAAAGCCCAGGACTACTCCCCAGCTCAGCTCGCATTTTTTCTCCTGGTGGTCATCCTCATGGTTCTCCAGTGCGTCTGCCTGTTTTACAGATGGGACAGGCATGGCCAGGAAAGCCTGGCATCATGTCGCTGTGTCAAACGACATGTCGCGGCATATCAGGCAGCTCGGTAGTGCAATAATCACTGATCCTTTTTGTTTGGGTGCTGTTTTCCCCGACAAAGTCCATACATATATATATATATACATACATGTACATATACATATATATATATATATATATATATATACACATAATATGCACACACATATGTACATATGTATATATATATATATACATATATATACATATATATACATATATATATAGTCCAAAGGGTCAGCCACTGTATTTTGTTTCAGGAAGTTGGACAAGTAAGGCAATGGGCCCCGAAAGTGGCTTGCCTTCGGCCTCCTTCGTCGAGTCTCCTGAATGAGCGGGCGGCAGACGTGAACTGCGAATTGCACGCAGAACAATAGGGCGTGCGATTTGAGGCAGAAGCTGCGAAGTCTTCAACCCGCAATGCTAGATCGCCCCACAGCCCATTAAACCCTAAACCCGCCTCGAAGCCCTAAAGCCCCAACAGCTCAAGACCCAAAACCCGAACCCGACAGACATGCCCTAATTTTCGTGGAAGCAACATCTTAGGGGTAAATAGAAAGAAATAAACATCTTTGGTGATTATTACCCCAGGAAACAGCTGAAATTATGGTTTTTGCTAGGGGTCTAAGTTCAGTATAGACATGACGAACCAAGTTTGTCAGAGAGCCAAGCACCCGTGGTTTGGCATTTTGGGTTTAGTGACCTGAATGTAGACATGTACCTTAGATGTCCTAGATAGTAGGGGCTTCATATATTGATGCAAGGAGTCTATACTACCGTCGAGCAGCATTTACATCAACCGAACCCTTTACAACTCCCCTGTAGACCCTAAACCCTCGACCAAGCCCTCAGCCCCAAACCCCAAATGCTATAACCCTAAACCCAATGGCCTGTGACCCTAAACCCCTAAACCCCTAAACCCTAAACCTCTAAACCCTAAACCCCGAATCCTCAAAAAAGCTAAACCCCAAACCCTAAACCCTAAACGATTAAAAGGCCCTGAACCCCAAACCCTAAACCCCCTTCAAAGGCAGGCGCTCCGTGGCTCCTTACACCCCGAGCCTCCAAAACCCCCTTAATTAAGGAATATACCTTAAATCATTTCTAGGGATCCTACTATAATTTAAGGGGTGTATTCCTTAACTAAGGGATATTGGGGTACCCTAAACCCTCGAATTATAGGGGCCTTAATAGTATGATTTAAGGTATATTCCTTACTTAACCCTGGGCATCAAAATAGCCCAAAAGCCTTAATATAATAAGCTTTTTGCACCAAAAAGCCTTAATATATGAGTTCTTAGATGCCTAGGGTAAGGGGCTTTGGCGGCTCTTTTGCCCCCGAGGCCGATTCCCCATGCCCTGGCCCTCTTCGGCCGCGCGAACTTCCGGCCCCGGTCCCTTTCGGAGGCTCCTTTGAAGGGTTTTTAGGGTTTAGGTTTTTAGGGTTTTAGGGGTTTAGGGGTTTAGGGTTTAGGATTTAGGGTGTACGTTTTAGGGTTGTGGGGTTTTGGGGTTTAGGATTTCAAGGTGATCAAGCAGGTTTGGGGTTCCTTTGAGGGTTCCTTCAAGGGGCTTTAGGGTAGATTCCATAACGGGGGTTCCCTTGAAGGAGATTTTAGGGTTCGCTTAATGGTTTCTTAGGGTTCAGGGTTTAGGGTTCCTTAAGGGGGGTGAAAGGGCTCCTTGAAAGGGCTCCTTCAGGGGGGGGGTTTTCGGGTTCCTCTACAGGGGTTTGCGGGGATCTGTCAGGGTTCCTTTAAGGGGTCTTTAAAGGGGGTTTAGGGTTTCTGTCAGGGGTTCTTTAAAGGGTTCCCCCCTTTAGGTTTCTGTCAGGGGTTCTTTAAAGGGTTCCTTTAAGGGGTTCTTATGTGTGTTACTAGAAGAGTGTGGTAAAGGGTTCAGAGGTTAGGATTCAGGGCTCAGGGTTTAGTTTAGGGTTCAGGCTTTAGGGCTTTGGGTTCAGGGTTTAAGGCTTTAGGGTTTAGGGTTTAGGGTTTAGGCTTTAGGGTTTAGGGTTTAGGGTTTAGGGTTTAGGGTTTTGAGTTTTAAGTCTTGTGGGCCAATGGGGTTTAAGGTGTATGGCTGTTTAGCAAGCTGTTTGGGTCTTATAGGCTCCAGAACGTTGTATAGTTTCTGTGATCAATGAGCTGCGTTGGACATTCAACGAACGCGACAACCTCACACCCCAAATCTCGATTCCCAAAGCTCTTGGTCCAAAGCCCTGCCACTGCGAACGCCAAAAAGGGTTAGACCCAGGGACGCCGAAGCAAGAATGCTATATCCTTGATCTGGTGATGTAGGATTCTTTTATTATCCCTCTCCTAGATGTACATGCGGCGGAAGCCTAGGTCGGTCTAAATCTCCTGAATCCACAAACTTGTACTGCAAGACGCAAAGTCTCTAACCATCGTGGCCACTCAAATCTTCCAATCCTTAACCAGGCTGTTCAGTGGTACACTTTTTTGCTTTCAGGTTTCTGGGTTCCTATTAGAAAATCAGAAGCCTAAAAAACTATATACTTTTTCCGAGTGGTTTACTGAACAGCCTAGGATTGAGTTTTGATCATGGTAGAACTTGTAGGATCCTTGTTGCAGTTCAGGAATATTCCTGAGTTCCGGAACACCCTAAGCCCTAAACCAATTTCAGGAGTGTCTCTTATTTCGCCTAAACCCTAAACCCCTAAGAAGCCAGTACTTCCTCAACCCTAAACCCGAAACCTTAAACCCAAACCCTCATCCTAAATCCCCCTAAACCCTAAACCCGGGTAGACTGGAAGATCCGTGCAGGTCTCCCTGCTTTTTGGGACGTGCGTTCACCCAGCTTCCAGTCGGAGCCTGCGTTTAGGTTCTCTAGATTTTAGGGGTCTATGGTTTAGGGTTTAGGGTATGGGATAGGACTTCAAAATGCTTTATCTGCTTTTTTCGGGCTTCTGCGAGGGCTTGACGGGTTTTAATGTTTTGCATAGGGTGCAAGGTTTTAGGGTTTGCGTAGGGTATCTCCTTGTATATTGTTTCCATGAAAGACGCGGTGACTTGAAACTGAGGGGTCACTGCAAGCAAGTTTCAACAGGCCTGTAGAGGCCAGCTACGACGCACAACAACATACTGTAGACTACGGTTGATGACATAAATCCTGCATGACCCATAATAAGGAAGATACCATAGTTCCCATACTGTAGATTAGGGTCCTTAAGGTAATGCAGGATTTATATCATCAACCTAAACCCTAAACCCTAAAACACTATAGATCCCTTCAAAGGAGCCCCTTACAAGTACCCCTATAGATTCCTTTTTAAGGTACCCCAGGATTTATATCATCAACAGTAGAACAGCGCCTTTAGAAGCTTGGTCAGCTTCTGTGAGGTGTTGCAGCAGTCATACGGGAGTTTCCGAAAATAAGGGGGTACCTTATTTTGGGGGTTCTTTTAATAAGGATCCTACTATTTAGGGTACTATATAGGGTCCCCTATTTTCGGAAACTCCCATATGTAGACTTGCTAGAAAGAGAAGACAGCACATCTGCATGGGCGGAGCCACAATCATATGGGTGGTTGTCAAAGTGAGGGTCCCTTTTTGGCTCAATATCATAATACGGCGCCTAATATCTAGGGTACCCAAAAAGGGACTACAGTTTTGACAACCGCCCATATCTGCTGTGCATTTGGAGTTGTACTACCCCAAGTCGCAAGTTTGTCATTGCGCATTGCGGCCCCGAAGCCCTCCGAAGCCCCATGACCCTAGTCCCCAGACCCCAAAACCCGAAACATCACCGAGCGGACTTGAAGGTTTGGGGCATCAGCATGAAAGACTCACTAACGGCCAAGTAGCCAAGGGTTTATGGCCTCAGAAACCCTAAATCCTAAAACCCTAAACCTTTGGGCAGGGAGTCGGCAGTGTGAAAGTCCCAATGCACCCTTAAACAAAACCCTAAACCCTTTCCTTCGAAAACCAGGTACTTGAAACTGAGTATCTGTTGCCTGCCCAAATGGGCTTTTGAGACGCTTCATGCTGATCGAAAAGGGGCCCTTAAAAAAAAAAAACAAACCGCCAGGGCTTCGGGGTTTCGGGTGCAAGGTTTGAAGTCAGGAGACTTAGGTGCCTTGCCTCCGTGCGCCTGATTTCGCTTACGGCTTCAGTTCTCTTCAACTAAAGGTTTTCGTTCTGCGGCCGTCGAGCGTCTGCCCCTAAACCCCAATCCCAGAGACTCCAATATCCCTTTATTAGGGGTTATACTTTGAAAGATAGTAGGATCCAAATATGATTAAAGGTATGTCCCTTACTCTAGGAATCCCCAAACCCTAAACCCTATACCCTAAACCCAGGTTCGAAATCGACGGTTTGGTACGGAGGTATGAGGATGATCCTTTCAACCCCAAGCCGTCTTACATCGTGCAGGGCAAAACCACCAGCCCTAGTGTCGGGCCTTTAACAATGAGAAGAGGGTTTTGGGGTCTAATTTTTGGTAAAATTACCCCAAGCCCTGTTCTACTGATTAAATTCCCATATACTTCATAATCTAGCCACTACAAGCCTCAGGGCCTGCATCATGAACAAACCTAGCTTCCCCTAAACCCTAATGCCCTAAACCCTAAACCCCTAATCCCTGATCCCTAGAAGCCCTAGACCCAAAACCCGTCAACCCCCCTAAACCCCCCTAGCACCCAGAAGCTGGAGGCCAGAACCCACGGTCGGAGACTTCAGCTTGCGGTTGGATGGCCCTGCAGGGGGCCGCAGTCTTCCTACGCGCTGGATCGCGGGTCGTCTTTGTCTTCTTCCTTTGCACCGTGCAAAAAATCCTGCATTGCCGTAAGGATCCTAAACTATGGGAGTTATGGTATATTCCATAGAATGGGTAAAGCCGCACGAGCCTGTTCTCTATGGGGTTTGCCTGGTTGGATTCGGGGTCAAAAGGACGTACAAGCTGAAAAAGAAAAGCGGTAAAGCCGAACGTACATGTGGGAGTTTCCGAATGTTAGGGGTACCTTATTTTGGGGTCCTAGAATAAGGATCCTACTGTTTAGGATACTATATTAGGGTCCCCTATTCGGAAACTCCCATATGAGTCCTTATAGAGCCCTTTAAAGGAACCCTAATATAGTACCCTGATAGTAGCCCCCTTTAAAGGAACCCTCAGGTTGGGAGGTCTTAGGTTCAGGTTCCCGAAGCTCCTGGGTCATTTTTTGAAGGGTGCTCAGAGAGGCTCAAGGACAGGGCCCGGTACATCCCGAAGCAGGACAACCCGGAAAGGCTCTGTGTTTAGGGTTTAGGGTTTAGGATTTAGGGTTTAGTGTTTTAGGGTTTAGGGTTTAGGGTTTTAGGGTTTAGGGGTCAACCA